GTTTCCGTTAGCTCAGTACGGTGTGGACGGCGATGCTTCTCTCAAAGCCGCATTTTCCAACTGCAGTGTGTGTGTGTGTGTGTGTGTGTGTGTGTGTGTGTGTGTGTGTGTGTGTGTGTGTGTGTGTGTATGCCGGAGTATGTGGTGTGGTGTGTGTAGAAAGAAGAAGAAAAAAATGAAAAATAGGGATTCACTGGCCAGAAAAAGTCACTTCAATCAGCTGTGTGGTGGATACCAGGCTAAAAATAGTGGCGGTCAATTCATCAGCCTTGCAAGCTGTTGAATGGTGTAATCCCAGCACAAGTTGCTATGTCTAACATAGCTGTTCGCTATCATCGCTTCCGCGATGGGCAGGTCTGAGGTCTGAGGTGTGTGTTGGTGGTGTTGTTGTTTATATACATGTACATGATGTACATCCCTAGCCTAGTGCTGGTGAAGCCTCTATCAGATCCACTCTGATGTTGCAACCCGCCACACTAGTACATGTATCTTGTGTACACTTCGTTATGTTCTAGCAAGAGTACATACCGGTGAACCGCTTTATGTGCTCTTGGCTAGTATTAGACATACCTGCCAGCCATCCCGATTTGACCGGAACTGTCCCGGTATCGCAGGGTGGTACTACTAGGCCCCCTAACTTGCCTAAGTGCAGTTGTCGCAGGCCTCAGCTAGATTTCTATACTAGTACATGTCCATAGCTAGGTATGTCACTGTCCCGATCTCAGGTCGGCAAAGGTTAATTGGCAGGTATGATTAGGGCCCCAATAGGCGGCATGCATCCAGGGAGTACTTTTTTTCTTTCTTTTCAGTTTGACTTTGTTTTACTTCGCAAACTCCAAACAGGAATTTCTTCCCAATGACAAGGTAGCGAAGAGGGAAGAAAAAAAGAGAGAGAAAAGTGTGTATGCGCTGGAAATGATAGTCAGCTGGAGATCAATAGTACGGATCCATTGTCAAACATGGCATTAGCTACTGCAATTGTAGCAGTCTGCTCCGTATAGATGAAACGGTGGATGTGTTGAGGTACACAGGTCTCATGCTCAGTCAATGGAAACAAGTCTATCTTTTTCCAGTTACTAGTACAGTCTGAGTTTCATGGTTACTAGTATCCACGATCTTCAGACAAGATGGACAACTAACACACTTGTACGCCGCTGTTTTCCTCTTCACGAGGATAATACTGCGGCAAAAATGATTAAATCCTCATTCATGGCTTAAACGACCTGAAATGGCTTTAACACTGAAGATATTAAAATTAGAGGCCACGCGGACGTCCCTGACCAGCCAGATGGACCGACATATTCTACAACAAGACCTGAAGAAAACCAATATCACTGTTCCTCAATCCTCTCAGTCTGTCTTTAGCTACTTTGAAAAACAGACACCGGATGTACCCAGTGTGGCGACAGTGCTCAACACCACCGCGGAGGCAGAGCGTGCTACAGAACAACAAGGACAATCAAGGCTTTGTTTGCTGCTACTTCAAGTTAGCTTCATTCAGCTAAAAACAGACAGAAATGGAACCTTTTCACTCAGAGATGCGTGGAGGTCAACTCTGAGTGCTGTACATGCGAGCTGTTCAACGACCTGACACGTTACTGTACATCGATAGGCATTAGCGGATAATGCTCGCCAAAAGGTGGCAGATTCTGCTCGAAAAGCAGTGAAATTGGCGGAACCATACAAGCCTTATAGCGGGCAATTCTTCGAATTCTGCTCCATTTCTTTATCCACATACCAAACATGCATGAAACTTACCAGAAAAAGTACCGGATTCTGCCAATTTTTCTGCTGACATTATCCGCCAAGGCCTACTGTACAACGACAACTAGTTTTTTAAAAACTACAAGTACTTTTTTATGAAGTTGGCTTCTAAGTAAGTACTTTTTTAATTTAAATAATTATACATGTTACTTGTATGTACTTTGAAAGAAAGGGTTTGCTTCCCGCACTCCACAGTGAAGCACCCACTATTCCGCCGACTTGGCACTTGACTGACTCATGACAGCCATCCAGAGCACACGAGAAGTCCATCGAACCTTCGACTCGGCAAACCTGCAAGAAAGCAGTGCTGCACCACTCTCTGCTCAATGCACAGTGTTTCGGAGAATTCACCCCGCATCAGTCGAGCTTGAGGAGGCTAATGAAATTTGTGCCCGAAGAGCACCACTGCACTCCAGGCACAAACATCACCAGGGATACAAACTTACAGAGACGCTCCGTTTCCAGCGCGACAAACACCTCGTGAACACCAGATAGCAGCGTGAGCCAGTCTCGCTACAGCAGTGTGCTGACTTGCTGGCATATTCTCTTGCTGTGCTGTTCTGCACCTCGCTGAGGACTGGAACCATTCTCTGCATTCTACATTGGCGTCTGTTGTGCCACTGCACACGGTCGGTGACCCATCAGTCGTGCACTGCACACAGTCGGTGACCCATCAGTCCCCAGTGACTCCCCACCAACTATAGACCTGTATCCCTTCTCCCAATAGTGTCCAAGTTAGTTGCTGGAGAGGGTAGTGCGACAGAAGTTAGTTCGTCATTAAATTTCGGACTTGAGCAAAGCACTACCCGAAACACAATTTGCCTTCCGCAAGAAATGTTTTACGAAAGACGCCCTCTGTGTGCTGACGGATAATCTCCAAAAGGTGAGAGACAGTGGCAAGGTCACAGGGCTGTGCCTATTAATTAAACATGTCGGAGGCTTTTGATAAAGTGCACCACAACCAGTTGATCCGGGCCGAGACCAACAAGGCCTGAAGAGAACCAAGATCACTGTTCCTGAACCCTTTGTCTTTAGCTAAAAACAGACCGTGATAAATGGGACCTTTTCACTCACAGACGCGCAGAGCTGAATTCTGAGTACTGTTAGGGTACAATGTACATGCCAGATGTTCTTATTTTTATTAAACGACCCGACACTTAATTATTATACATGATTGTAGCAAGACTTAGTATTAGTTGAACAGCTCAAACTCCTCTCCAACGCGCAGGCAAAATGGCCTTCGTACCAGGACGGCTAAAGACAAGGCATATTTAAAAGTACAGTGTATTACTTGTATTACATGTATGTAGCGATCATTATCGCAGAGAGTGTTGCTGTGCAGTCATGCACGTAGGTCTACGACAAGCGCGCACCTGCAGTACCGATATGATTTTTTTTTATGTAGAATGCCACGAAACCATAGACCGTGACAGACTTGCTGCTGTAGCTATGCGAGTGACCCTGGCCTGGCACCCATAATGGGCATAATCCCATGCCATGGCTAGGCTGTCAATGCCACCACTTTCTCTCTCCTCTTTACTGTGTGATTGTACAATACATGGTAGTCATGCTGTTGGTTTGACAGCATGTAATACCGTCATGTAGCTGTGAAACGTCCGCATAGCGAACCTCCATCCAAGGGCCCAGAGCCCCACACACAGTAGAAATGGGGTACAGTCGTGTACAGTGTATAGTGTACAGGCTGTATGTATGTATCTAATATTGACTGAGTACAAGGTCAATAGGAAAATAATAAAAGCCGAGTAAAAGACCCAGGCGAAGCTGAGGTCTTTTACGAGGTTTTTATTTCCTATACTGACCAAGTATGAAGTCAATAATTCTTTGTGCCATCTTCAATAGGTCCGTCAAATACAGTAGTAGTAGGTTTTTCATTTTGACCCGACGAGACCATACGACGCCTGCAGATCACAGCACGAACAGTTCACCAGCCACACTCCACGAAAGCAAGTAGTAGTACTCCTGACAAGTCTTGTTTCGTTCCATAGAGATAATAACGGGGAACTCATCAGAGGAGAAGCAGTTGTTGAATGAAGGGGTTTAGCTGAATAATGCTATTTTATAGAAAAGATATTGGCGCACTGAGGTGTAAACACTCAACTAACTCACATATGTGACATATCAACACAAAAATTAATGAATAGTGCAGAATGGAGGTGTTCTGAACCCTACCAGACACAACTATCACAAGTGCTAAATCATTCACAATGAGAAGGAGAGGTACACAGGAATAGGTTGCGCTAGTTTACACGTCACAAATGGTACTGAGGTAGTGACAAAGATAGGTGAAAAGTAGACGCCAAGTGAAAGCCAACAAATCATCACGAACGTTCGTGCTGTGATCTGCAGGCGTCGTATGGTCTCGTCAGGTCAAAATGAAAAACCTACTACTACTGTATTTGACGGACCTATTGAAGATGGCACAAAGAATTATGACTTCTCCTGGACCAGGAAATCTGCCATTGACCAGAGGATTTGATCTGCTGCTCGGATTTTAGCGTTAGACGCCAACCTTGCAGTCAAGATCAGGATGGATACGTCGCCTCAGCAGCCCACAGTTCGATGTCACACCCAGCAGCCTTCCTTTCACTATACCGCTGGCTGAATTTCAATTATCGAGGTTTGTGAAGTATTTGTCTTGTGCCGCTAGCAATCTTCAGATATGACGTTAGACGATCACCAAGTCTCAATGACGTCACGGGTTTGTGAATGTTGAACGACCTCTGCTGGGATGACGACTACACCATAGCTCAGTGGTTAGAGCATCGCTGGCTACAAGCGAAGGTCCCTGGTTCGAGTCCTGGTGGTGACACTCAATTTTTTCTTCAGACTTTTCCCGTTTGTCTCTTTCCCTCAAACCCAGTTAATACATGTACATGTACATGTACATTATCATTTTGCACATAACGACCTGGATGAAGGTTTGCTATGCGGAAGTAACTTAGTTTTACAGTTTAGCCATCACTAGTAACAGTGATGATGACCATGATGACAGCAGTATGCCTACATGGCCGGTTGCAGGGTCCCTCACTGCCTCAGGACCCTCACAGTCACACAGCCGCAGGTCTGTCATGGACCATGGTCTATGGTTTCGTGGGATTCTACATGACTCACTCTTCATGTACATGACTGTGTCATGTACATTTAGAAAAGCGATCCTGTCAGCTTTTCTATTATTGTGTTCACATGGCAAGAAAAACGACACCGCTATGCTACGT